CAGTCTGGGTGACAGAACAAAATCCTGTCTAAAAAATAAATAAATGCAAAATTTAAAAAAGAAATGCAGACTCTCAAGGTAATTTGTATATACACTAAAGTTACAAGTACTTATGTTGAGCCCTGGGTCTCAAACTTACCTGTATGCTAAAATTACCAAAGAGCTTTGGGGAAAAAAAAAAAGAAACTTGGTCTGAAACCCAATGATTCTGGTGTAATTGGTGTGGGTGTGTCTTGGGTATCAGGAATTTTCAGAAGTTCCCCTAAGTGACAACAGTGAGCAGCCAAGTTTGAGAACCACCAGTTTACAGGCATCCACGGAGAATAGGGAGGGAATTGGGGACAGTGCACAGAAATGAATGCCCCAAACTGTGAGACAGTATAGCATATGCAAGAACCATAAGCAAGCCCACATTCAAGAGCAAGGTATGAGGAGAGAGATGGGGAATATGGACAAAGAGGCAGGGAACATTCAGCTCTTAAGGAGTAGCAGGACACAGCCAGACTTTGGTCTTTGGTATGTAGATGAAGAGCTTTGGAAAGGAAGTAACAGACTTGTAATTCAGAGCTTTAATAGCACCAAAAACAGAGGCTGGGAGAACAGATAGGAACCCAGGGCAACATTAAAGATTGATACCTGAATGCAGGCATTGGTAGAAAGTACTAGCAGAAGATAAACATAAGAATAATCAGGAGGTAAAACCATCAGGTCTTGATCATTGATTGATTGGAAGGGTGTAAAGACAAAAGATAGCGAGGGAATCTCAGACCTGCCCAGTGGATTTTCTGGGTTGGCATGCAAGTTCTGTGATTAATCATATTTGGGACACATTCAGTGCTGGATACTTGTGAAGTATGCACATGCCAGTGTTCATCAGATGGCTGAGCAGCAAAACCTGGAGTTCAGACAGGAAGTCCAGGTGCAGGTCGTAGATCTGGGGTTCATCTTCAAGTAAGTGGAAGAGGATGCCATTCAATTGCACGAGGTAGCTTAATGGGAAACAAAATACTGAACCTCAGAAAATACCCAGGAGAACACCATGTAGGAGAGTAGTAGGGAATGATTAGAAAGGAGAAGGATGAGGAAATAAGATCACAGAGACAAAGGGGTGCTCAAGACACCTAAGACATCAGAAAGCCTGCCACAGAGAGGGGCAGATGCTGCTTGGGTTTAGCAATGGTGAGCTTATTTGCAATCAATGTCTCAGTGAAATGGATGAGAGAAAACCAGATTTCCCTGAGTTAAGAAATAAAGGCGTCAAGGAGGGTGGACCTCATTTTCTGCCACACTGAGTGTCCTAAGATAGTATCCATGTAAATAAATGATGGAATAAATGCAACAGCACGGGTGAAGCAGGAAGAACAAATGTGATAGCTCTGTGTGTGAATGGTGGAAATAAAGGTATCATTTTGATATGAGAGACCTTGACAAGTTTCTAAACTGAAGAAAAAGTGACAGTAGAGAAGAGAAGATTAAAGACATAGGACATGAGGGATACAAACACAAAAATCTGACTTGCATAGGCTCACAAAATCCTGGCTGCTTCTTTGTCTCTCACAAACTCCCATCATTCTTTTACTATAACTTAGGGTTTGGAGGAAGTTAACTAGAAAAGCCCCATCTGGAGCACTTTGGCAGTTTCCTGGTGAAGGGCAGACTCCCTGCCAGATGTCCTGAGCATGGAGGGGTGTGGCAGGAAAATAGGTGAGTGCTATGGGGACAGGCACAGGTCTCTGAGTGAGGGTAAAGGATGGAGGGTCCACACCTGGCATCTTACTGAGAGAGGTCACTCTGGGGCATGAGTAAAGTAGATGTGGACACTGACAACAGGAAGAGGCCGTGAGACCAATCTTTCAACCCGTCTGGGCCCTTGGAGGCACAGGGGAAGCTCCCTGCAGTGGGAGGTGCTGGGTCTGCCATGTGGGGAGCGGTAGCCGCTGAAATCCCTGTCACACAGCTATGAGAGTCCAGAGGTGAGAAAAAGAAGCTTCCAGAGCAGATAAGAAAAGGAGGTTTCTAGAACATAGTGGCAGGAAAGGCAGAGAGCACAGTTCTCTCTCTGGCGCGAGAAGTAAGAAGGCAGGGTGTGTGCAGGACAGCAGGTGTGCTTAGCGGCAAGAGGGAAGGTCATTGAATGACAGTTTTAGTGTCAGTGGGGGCACGGAGGGTGGAGAAAGGGTTGGATTCTGGACATGTATTGAGGTCAAGCCAACAGCATTTGCTGATGAATTGAATGTGGGGTGTAAATTTTTTTAAAAAAGCAAGGATGTTTGCATTGCTTTTGACCTGAGCAACTGGAAGTAAGCAGACTCCATTAAAAAAAATTGGGAAGGAATGCAGGTGCAGCAGATTTGAGAGAGAAGCAGGAGCTGTTTCAAGCATATTCAATGTTACGATGATTTATCTCCAAGGAGGACTAAGACCTTTTCAATAATGCTGAAATATCTTCTACCCATTTTAATAATGGTCTAAACTTCTTGCCTTCGTTTTTTTACATAGCTCAATGTTATGCAGCTAACAGTAACTCTTAAAAAGTAGCTTTTGGCCGAGCGCGGTGACTCACGCCGGTAATCCCAGCACTTTGGGAGGCCGAGGCAGGCGGATCACGAGGTCAGATCGAGTCCATCCTGGCTAACTCGGTGAAACCCCGTCTCTACTAAAAACACAAAAAATTAGCCGGACATAGTGGCGGGCGCCTGTGGTCCCAGCTACTCGGGGGCTGAGGCAGGAGAATGGCGTAAACCCAGGAGGAGGAGCTTGCAGTGAGCCGAGATCGCACCACTGCACTCCAGCCTGGGCAACAGAGCGAGACTCCGTCTCAAAAAAAAAAAAAAAAAAAAAAAGGAGCTTTCATTTCGTGAAGCAATTTAGGATTCTGTTTTTCTCCTCTGAAATGATGGCAATAAAACCGGTTTTTCTCCGGTTTTAACTGTGAAAACTGTGAAAAATAGATTCCATTGTCTGGGATCAAGCACCATGCAGGTGGAGAAGGAAGCTTTGTCAGGGGAAATGTATGTCCTGAGTTGAGGAATTTGTCGGCTCAGCCTTGGCTCCTAATTTGACTCCATGAGAAACTTGTCACTGGCTGAATAAAGCCTTGGCTTGGCATCTCTGCGATAAGGCTCAGCATGGAGGTGAGGACTGGGAGCCTGGAGGGTTTACGCCAGCCCACTTGGTATCCCGCCCCCACAGAGCTCCTTAGAAGGATTCCTCTCCAAGATGGTGGCTCTGCCCATCTGTCTGTTCAGAACTGGCTACTATTTTCCACTTTTTTGGTCAGATTCGGTCTCCAAAATGGACTATAAGGAAGCTGGCTAGCTTCACTTTCAGAGGCCCTTGGCATTCTCTACCCTCCCACTACTGGTTTTGTTCAAGGCACTGTCAGCCCCAACCCAAGATCACAGATCTAAGACTCCCAGGAAGCCTGAACAGAATTCAGAGATTCCACAAACTTGAATGAAAAACTTGTACTTTTTTTTCACATCAATCTATCAAAAAATTAGAATTTATTTATATAATAAATGCCAGCCAAAAAGAAAAAAACTGAAATATTAGTACCTGTGTCTTTGTCACTGATAAAAATTACAGATATTCATCTTATTAACATTGTCATTTAATACATTAGTTAAAAATTACACATATTACAATATCACAACTTTTCAGATAATTAAATAACAATATCTCACAGTAACTCATTTATTTTTTAATCTCATGTATTTTATTTTATGTATCTAAAAATATTCTTCTAAGAAAGACTCCACAGGCTTCTAAGCTGCTGGAAAACAGAAATGAACTTTTGTTATTATCATAACCCCAGTCCCAGGGCAGTATACAACATGGCTGATGCTTAGCTAATATTTGTGGAATGAATAAATGAGGGTATCTTTCATCTTAATTTTCCAATGCTCCAAATTAATCTAAAAGTTTAAAATTGCTAGAAACATGGAGTGCCTAGAGTGAGTTTTAAAAGATAAAGATGTTGTTGCAGGACAGGATAATTAATACCAAAGATCAGATCCTTTTCCTTAATGTTAAGAGGGCTGCAGAAGGGCAGCAGTCCATCTTCTGTAACAGCTTCTTGCTGATTTTATGGGTCTAGTCCCTGACTATCACTGGAGGAGTAAAATCTCCAGATACCTGATCTAAGGGGCCCAAAGGCAGGATGCTCTCATTTTCTGGGTTAGAAGACAGGGTAGGTTGGAAGGCTGGTGCTAGCATTGTCTTTATGTGGAATCTAGAAGACATAAACTTTACTAGGAGTCTAAACAAGAAAATTATAATTAGCAGGAAGAGAAAAATGAATGCTCCTATGCCCACCCACAGCATCATGTTAGTTATTTATGCATTTGTAAAACAGCAACCTTAAGTTTTCTAGGGTTTACAAATGTAGGTCGTAGTGTCCTGCTCTTGTGCCTGTGGGAACTCATAAGAAACAGGTTCAATCCTAGACAAATGTTCCCAACCAGTACTTCCCTAAAGTTTAAGAGCAGTGAGGGTACTTAACTATATCCAATAAGAGCTCTTTCATATCATTGTATCTAATCCTCATGGGATCCCTTTTTTCAAAGTTTTTAGTAAGGCTGGATCTTTTTATTTTTGTTCTTTGTGTAAAAGAGAAATGCTTTGGTTTTACAATTTTTGAAAGATATTTTGAACCTAGCCTAAATTTTAAGGGGCCATAGTGAGGTGTGTCTGATGTCCTGTTTCCTGTTCCATGTTTTATGTCATGGCCTGAGTTAGGTTTTTTTTAATTTATTTAGGATTTTCTTTGGCCAAGGGACTTAGAATCAAAAGACTTATAAGCCAATTAAACTTTCTAGATCAGGTAGGAATTGAAGTAACCAGGTACTCATTAGCCCTTAAAATCCTTTGAAGCAATACAAGAGTCAAAAATTAAAAGCCAAAAAAAAGTTACACATCAAGAAAAACCAAGAGCATAGAATCAAGCTATACTGGGGGAAAATACCACTTCCATAGACCTCTAAGGCAAAGTACCTTACCATCAGGCCACGACAGTCAGAATCACAGGAGCTGATGAAAGAGCTGAAGGAGAGAACCAGCGTCCCAGGCCTTTTTAAAGGGAGAAAGAGCTGAAAGCAGTAAGACAGAGCAATAGTTGAATCTAGGAGACATAAATACAAGAAGTTTTAAAAGAAGCTCGTTATAGCATTAAAAGCAAAGTTTTCCATAATTTAGCAAATCAGCACTTTAAGAAAACTTTAGTTTCAATATGTAGGTAATTTTATAATTTTCTTTACATCTCCTTTTTCTACCCACTGGTTCCTTTATATGTTGAGCCTCTCTTTAAAGAACTTTTGAATTAGACAAAAATTATTTTCCCAACAAAGAATACATTTTTGGTACATTTAATACAAATCTAGGAAGCAAGAAAGGAGAACCACTTTACGATTTTAAGATATTTTTTTTTTTTTTTTTTTTGAGACAGATTCTCACTCTGTTGCCCAGGTTGGAGTGCAGTGGTGCAATCTCAACTCACTGCAACCTCTGTCTCCTGTGTTCAAGCGATTCTCCTGCCTCACCCTCCCTAGTAGCTGGAATTACAGGCACACACCACCATGCCTGGCTAATTTTTTGTATTTTTAGTAGAGACAGGGTTTCACCATGTTCGCCAGGCTGGTCTCAAACTCCCGACCTCAGGTGATCCGCCTACCTCAGCCTCCCAAAGTGCTGGGATTACAAGCCTAAGCCACCATGCCAGGCCCAATTTTAAGATTTCAAACCACACAGAAAGCTCACTATTTAAGCATCTATTCTATTCACATGTATTTAACTTTTCTATTTTTAACAGTTTTACCTAGACTACCTCCAAGAACCAAGATATCATGCAAAGCTAGTTACCATTTAAAGCCATTTTAACCATTTAAGAGCCTACAAACATCAGTGATTTACCTGGGTAAGTATCTTAAATTTTAGAAGATATAACATTTTCTTTAAAGTAACAAGTTTAGATTAGTCTTAATTGTTTAATTTATTCAACATTCTTTTTTATAAGCCAATTGGATAGCATGTTAGACATAACACACATCACAATACTTGTATATATACAGAAACAAACATAACAAAGTGACCTGTATAAGACAACTGGATCCAAGCTATTTACAAAATCCTGACCTGTCTATCTGGCTAAACTTTATTTACCCCAACAGGTATGGAAGAGGAAATGAACAGGATTCTGTAGCATCAAATCAGGAAGAGAGAGGGCAAACCACATTGCTCAAGGGGAGACCTGGGCATCCCTGAGCTGCCTGAGAGCTCCCCCAGCTGTGAAGACTCCAAAGAAAAATGTTCAGGTGGCTGCTTGTCTTCCACTGTGGGAAGCTGTCTGCTTCGTCAAGGATTCAAGATCCTTAGTAAACTTATAAACTTATTTGGGCAAGGCAGCTTGTTGGGGCTAGTGGAAGAAGGTTAGCTTTAGTGTTGACAGGAAGCCTTTTCCTCTCCCACCAGGCACGGTTAGGACATTCTCATTGCCACTGGCCCTTTGGCTTATAGTAGGCACACTGATTCTGGCCCAAGGGCCAGCGAGTTGGTGGCTGTCATCTGGGCATCCCAGACACCGATTTTACAACACTGTCTCAGGATAGGTAATTCTGAGGTGGCAGAGGGCTTAAAGCAGCTATTACTAATTGCACTTTCTGCCTATTTCTGTTGTGTTTTTTCACATCTTTTGCCTTTTCCCAAATGTTGTAAACTTTAAAGGCCCTGTTGGCTCACAGGGATTTGAGGTCCATTGCTGCTTTTTGTAGCTTTCTCCTAATGTCAGGCACAGCAGACTGAGTAACGAAATGCGTAACCAGGAAAGCTTGCCCTTCCGGGGAATCGAGGTCTGCATTAGTCTATTCCCTGAGTGCCTCAACCAAACGACCCAGAAACGGGTGGGATTTTTGTCTTTTCCCTAAGTTAAAATATCTCTAACCTTGTCATAAATAACTGGCTTAACCACACTGTTTTTCTGCTGCTTTTTTCCTGTGGCACAGCAAGCAGACACCAATACTTGCAAGTCATGACAATTTAAATTAAAGAGCATGGACAGCTTAGTCAACTCCTCTGTAAACTTTTCCGGATCCTCTGAGAACTGGCTGAATTTTTCCTTGTATAAAACCAAATCCCACATAGAAAATGGGACATATACTCTAACTGTTCCCTCATTTCCATCAACTACTTCCCACAATGGACATAGGTTTGACTGTAGGGGCTGATATGGGACCCCGCTTCTGTTGGTACTGGTTGGACTTACTTTCTCATGCAGCAGGGGTATAGGCTAGTTGGATAGTGAGGAGGGGAACCTTATGACCTTGCAGTGGAATTCTGTGTTAGAGGACTGTCAGGACCTCAGAACTGAAGATCTGAGGAGACTCCAAGGAGGGCGTAGGCCTTCTAGCGGGAGCAGCTGGAAGGGAGCCCCTAGGTGCTCCTTCCTGGTGTCTGGAAGTAACATGAGCCAGTAAAGGGCCATAAAAGCCTGTACGGAAGGGACCTTCTCCCATTTTAATAGGATATATCTAATTATAAAATAGCATTATAATGTACATAACCATGTTTAGGCCAAATCTCTTGGTTTTCTAATTTATGTTGGACCCAAATGGTACTGCAACAGAAAAATCAAGTCAAATTTGAATTTGCTCCAATAGACTAAAAGGCACCCTAGTGGCACATCCCCTGGATGCTTGTCACTGTCTTCATGTCCAACAAGGATTTCTACTAGGCCCATGAGTTTGTCTAAGTCTAGCGAGAGGGTAGGAAATTGGGCCCTTGTTTTTTCCATCTTAGATTCTTACTTTCTGCAAAGAAAGTGCAAATATAGGTAGAAAGGCATAAGAAAGTGGGTTATAATCATTTGTCAGTGAATGAACTATGACAAAAGAAGTGTTTTTTTAAGTAATGTGAGGAAAGAAAAGTGTGATAAAGTGACAATAAAAAAAGAAAATCCTGTTATGGAAAATAATAACTTTAGGGCAGAAAACAGAAAAGGCAAGACCAAGATTCCCCTAAGGTGGACCTTCAACCCACAATCCTAGCAGGAATGCCAGTGTAAAAATCCTCAGGGCATCCAGGGGGTGGCCAAAAATAACAAATGTGGAAAACCTGAGTTCCTGTGTATCGGCCTTTGAGAGTCTCCACACCAAATGTCAAGAAACCTGGAGCATCCGGGAGCTACCAACAGTGAAACCCAAAAGCCTGACTGGGGCCACAGAGCAACATGACTCTGGCATCCCAGAGTCAACACAACAGGGGATCTCTCACAGCTAAGTGTCCTGCCTTAAACAATTGCCCAAATGTAGTTAGTGGGGAGCCAAAGGAAACACTGTAAACAAAACATAAATTTCAGGGTGGAAAATAAAATAAAATAGCAGACAGAAACATAAAATGGTATTAGTGGGGAAAGGACTGAGAGAAGGGGTGACAAGGATGTAATTGGTTAGGACTTTGAATTGACGATCTAGCCAAAGGCTGGTTCACCCAATATTGGCAGGGAGGGTGGAGGGGACATTTTTCTGCCCACCGGAGCCAAAATGGCACCAACCAGTCTCCAACTTAGGGCTGGGGTGAAGGTCTGCTCCCCAGGTTTCCCCAGCTTGGGCAGACTCAGCTGCTATGGAAGGAAGGGGAGGTGTCAGTGCAGATCAGTGACCCACCAACTGCAGTGGCAGGTCCCACATGAGGTGGCGGTGCTGTGGATGCTCATTCATTCACTGGGCTCCACCACCTGCCGGGAAAGATGATGGTTCCTAAAAGAGCCCTTGGCGGCCGGGCGCGGTGGCTCAAGCCTGTAATCCCAGCACTTTGGGAGGCCGAGACGGGCGGATCACGAGGTCAAGAGATCGAGACCATCCTGGCTAACACGGTGAAACCCCATCTCTACTAAAAAATTACAAAAAACTAGCCCGGCGAGGTGGTGGGCGCCTGTAGTCCCAGCTACTCGGGAGGCTGAGGCAGGAGAATGGCGTAAACCCGGGAGGCGGGGCTTGCAGTGAGCTGAGATCCGGCCACTGCACTCCAGCCTGGGCGACAGAGCGAGATTCCGTCTCAAAAAAGCAACAACAACAACAAAAAAAGAGCCCTTGGCTAGTGTTACAACTCTGTAGCTTTGATCACCATAGCACTGATCACCATCTTACCATCTCTCTGTCTCCCTGATCACCATCCCCCAATCCTGCCATTCCACTGACCGCCAATTGCTGCCTCTCACTATCTCACTGTCCCAACAACTGTCAATCGCCAATCACTGCCTTTCCGTCTCTCTCTAGTTATTGCCTCTCACTGTCTCACTGACTGCCAGTTGCTGTTTCTTGCCACCTCGCTACTCACCATCTTGCCATCTCTCACTGTTTCTCATCATCTTGCCTTTCCACTGATCACCACTGTCTGCTCTCTCACCATCTCTCTGCTGACTGCCACTGTTTTCCTGTCTCACTACTGATTGCTGCTGTCTCACTGCTGTGTTGGTCACTGCCTCTTACTCACCATCTTTGTCTCTTCATGGTCGTCAGATGTTACAGGACAGGTGAGCCACAGAATGGGTGCTTAGCGTGGAAGGGCTCTTGTCTTTGCCCAGGAAAGAATTCCAGGCTGAGCTAGTGGTGGCAGGCAGCAATCTTTTGTTGAACGGTACTGTTCCTTGTAGAGCACGGCTGACTTACAGGCAGTGTGCCCAGAGTCAGCAACATATGGGCTCTTGGCAACAATACTTATACTCACATAAACCTACTTTCAGCTACATGCAAATTAGGGGGCAGGTCAATACAAATTAAGGGGCAGGTTACTTAGAACTTTCTAGAAAAGGGGCAGTAACTTCCAGGTCATTGCCTTTGCATTTGTAAACTGTTATGGTGCTGGTGGGAGTATCTTATGCCAATGAGCAATAAGATCAGCTGGGGATTACTTTAATCGTCATCTGCTGGTTCCTGCTGATCTTTTTTTTTTTATTTTATCCTATCTGGACCAGATCCTGTTTTGGTCAGCAGGACTGTGACCAAAAGACAAGTCCTTCCAGTCTCCTACCTCAACATTAATTAGATCATAGTTTTCTAATTAATTAATTATGACTTGTCAGCATTCTTGTTACATATTTAGCCATAATTTCAATTTAGGGGGAATTTGCCTGCACCACCCACTTCTCAGCTGAGAATCGATATCTAAAAATCACTGCATGAATTTGTTTTGTCATCTTCTCTGGTGGAGGTGGGACGGTGTCTTAGTCCACTCTTGCACACCTATAAAGACATACCTGGGACTAGGTAATTTATAAAGAAAGGAGGCTTAATTGACTCACAGTTTTGCATGGCTGAGGAGTCTTCAGGAAACTTACAATCATGGCAAAAGGCAAAAGAGAAGCAAGTACCTTCTTACAAGGGAGCAGAAGAGTGAGCAAGAGGAAGTGCCACACTCTCAAACCGTCACATCTCCTAAGAACTCACTATTATGAAAACAGCACTGGGGAAACCACCACTGTGATCCAATTACCTCCCACCTAGACCCTCCCTCAACATATGGGGATTACAATTTGAGATGAGATTTGGGTGGGGACACAGAGCCAAACAATATCAGATGAAGGAAGGAAGGAAGGAAGGGATGAAGGAAGGAAGGAAGGAAGGGATGAAGGAAGGAAGGAAGGAAGGAAAGGAGGGAGGGAGGGAGGGAGGGAGGAAGGAAGGATTAGGTATCTTTTATAACAAGAAAATTGTCATATTTTTTCAGCAATACAGGTTCCATTGGTGAATATCAGGTCATCTCTCCTGTACCCCTGATTTTATTTGATTCCCTAAATGCCCCTCAGTAAGAAGGAAATGTGCACTAATTGGTTGAAGCTCAAAGTGATTATTCATTATGAAAACAATCCTACATATCAATTCCCTTTGAAGGATGTTTAGAAGAACTGCTGTTAGTTTTCTTTCATCTTGGAAAAGAAAAGGCAAAACCAAGCCAGCCAGGGTTTATTCTGCTTCATTACAGCTCTAAAGCACATTTACTGAACAGTCATTTTTCAATATAGTAAATCTCTCTGGGAGTAGTTTATTCGGTGGGATGCAGAGATATCTTAGTTGGATAATTCATGCTCTTTGGTTTACCTTGGATGTGTAATTGAGGCCAGCTGCTGAAATGGTACCAACAGCAATAACAACATCAAGAAGCAATGACAAGTTCCAAGGGTTATGGCACTAAAAGAAGAGTGCAGGGCTACAGCTGTGACTGTGTTTCAGATCTCCAAGTGCCCATGTGAGTTCCTGGCTCAACACCATGAATACGCCAGGAGAGAGCCCTTGTCTGGTAAGCAACACAGACAGCAGAACAAGGGAAGTGTCAATGGGATCTGGCCAATAATTCCTATTAGAATATCTGGTGAATTATGACTTTTGAGAAGCAGTAATAATCTTCACATAAAGGTATTCCTATGTTGATTGTAATAAAAAGGAATCCAGTCCCCACCAGCCTCCCTCATTTGGATTCCCAAATTTCTCGCAAGTGGCTTCCCAGCCCTCAGCTCCACTCTCTCTGATTTCATTCTTCACCTTCTATCCAGAGCTATTTTCTCAAAAGAAAGTCTAGTCATGTTGTTTTCCTGTCTATATTCAGCCAGTGCTTACCCAATCTCATAAAATGAAGTGTGAATATTTACTGATGACAGAGACTATAAGGCTTTCACTCCTCTTCAAGTTTTCCTCTTGCTAGGTCACTTTCTAGTTGCTCTGATATTTTTTTCCATTTCACACTCTCCCCAAGCTTTTGTTAGCTTGTGACTTCTGCGCATGTTGTTCTCTTTACCTGAAATACTTTCCCTCCATTCTGCACTCTCCTTGGGTCCAAAATTCAAACATCTTTCCTTTAGGCTGGGAGTGAATAAGTCACCACCTTTAGCAGAAGACTAGGCTGTGCTCTTACATATCATAAATCCTTGTAGCACACCTTAAATAACAGTCTTCATACTTTAGGGTTATCACATGTTTAATATCTGTCTTGTTCACAACACTACAAGATCTCTGAAGGCAGGTGTCTTATCCGCTACATTACAAGACCTCTTGGCCGGGCGCGGTGGCTCAAGCCTGTAATCCCAGCACTTTGGGAGGCCGAGACGGGCGGATCACAAGGTCAGGAGATCGAGACCATCCTAGCTAACGTGAAACCCCGTCTCTACTAAAAAAGTACAAAAAAAAACTAGCCGGGCGAGGTGGCGGGCGCCTGTAGTCCCAGCTACTCGGGAGGCTGAGGCAGGAGAATGGCATAAACCCGGGAGGCGGAGCTTGCAGTGAGCCGAGATCCCGCCACTGCACTGAGACTCCGTCTCAAAAAAAAAAAAAAAAAAAAAAACAAGACCTCTTAAGGTAGGGTTCACACTTGTCTCATTTATTACTGTGTTACATTACCTTGGACAGTTTCTAAAACATAGGGTCAATTAAGATTTGTTGAATGCACAGATCACCAGATGAGGTGCTCACAGGTCTCCCATCTTCCTCTGACTGAGGGCCTTACCAGTGAACCCATTTTCACAGTGAAATCCCTTTCTCTCTCTCTTATTTCATTCCTTTAAAAACAGAAAGTAATGACCTGACTTGTTGCTGATCCTTCAGTATGAACTTATTCAGTTAATGCCAAGTTCTTTACACACTCCATCTTTGGCTGGTTTAGAGCAATGGTTTGGGGATTGGAGAGCTTCCCCCTGGAGGGCTTAACACACAGTGTCCTGGACCCCACTCCAGAGTTTCTGGTGCAGGGATCTGTAGTGAAGCCTGAGTGTCTTCATTTTTAACAAATTCCCAGGTGCTGCTGACACTGCTGGTCTGGAGACTACAGGTTGTGAGTCACTGGTCTGAACATTCTGTTTAAAGTCACTTCATTTCTACGGTCTCACTCTCCTATCTTATCTCAGTATGTGGACCCCCTCCCCCCGCATCTAATTAACATACGGTTCATCTACCTTTCATAAGATTAACACCTGGCCAGATCCTGCTGTGGCAGATACTCAGTGCAACATGTTATGTTTTGACCTTGCATAGAGTTAATTAAGCAGGGCCTTTCTATGCCTGGTAAGGCCCAAAAATAAGCCAAAAATATATGGAACATGACCACGTAAAGAAAACCTGCTAGCGATTTTTGCACACTGATTTTATATCCTAAGGCTTTGCTGAAGTTGTTTATCAGCTTAAGAAGCCTTTGAGCTGAGGCAATGGGCTTTTCTAGATACGGGATCACGTCATCTGCAAACAAGGACAGTTTGACTTCCTCTCTTTCAGTTTGAATACCCTTTATTTTGTTCTCTTGCCTGATTACCCTGGCCAGAACTTCCAATACTCTGTTGAATAGGAATGGTAAGAGAGGGCATCCTTCTCTTGTGCCGGTTTTCAAGAGGAATGCTTCCAGCTTTTGCCCATTTAGGATGATATTGGTTGTGGGTTTGTAATAGATGGCTCTTGTTATTTTGAGGTATGTCTCTTCAATACCTAATTTATTGAGAGTTGTTAACATGAAGAGATGTTGAATTTTATCGAAGGCCTTTTCTGCATCTATTGCGATAATCATGTGGTTTTTGCCTTTGGTTTCGTTTATGTAATGAATTGCGTTTATTGATTTGTGTATGTTGAACCAAACTTGCATCCTGGGGATGAAGCCAACTTGATAGTGGTGGAGAAGCTTTTTGATGCATTCCTATATTCCAACAACAGGCAAGAAGAGAGCCAGATCATGAATGAACTCCCATTCACAATTGCTACAAAAATATTAAAAGACCCAGGAAAACAGCTAACAAAGGAAGTGAAGGAACTCTTCAAGGAAATCTACAAACCACTATTCAAAGAAATCAGAAAGGACACAAACAAATGGAGAAACATTCCATGCTCACAGATAGGAAGAATTAATATCGTGAAAATGGTCATATTTCCCAAAGTGATTTATATATTCAATGCTATTTCCATTAAACTATTGATATTCTTCACAGAATTAGAAAAGGCTATTTTAAAATTAATGTGGAATCAAAAAAGAGCCCATATAGCCAAGACAATCCTAAGCAAAGAGAACAAAGTCGTAGGCATCATGCTACCCAACTTCAAACTATACTACAAGGCTACATTAACCAAAACAGTATGATACTGGTACAAGAACAGACACACAGACCAATGGAACAGAATAGAGAATTCAGAAATAAGACCGCACACTTACAACCATCTGATCTCTAACAAACCTGACAAAAACAGCAATGGGAGAAGGCCTTCCTATTTAATAAATGGTACTGGGAAAACTGGTTAGCCATATGCAGAAAATTGAAACTGGACCACTTCCTTACATCTTAAACAAAAATTAACTCAAGATGGATTAAAGACTTAAATGTAAACCCCAAAACTATAAAAACCCTAGAAGAAAATCTAAGCAATGCCATTCAGGACATAGGCATGGGCAAAGATTTCATGACAAAAATGCCAAAAGCAATTGCAACAAAAGCAAAAATTGAAATATGATTAATTAAACTAAAGAACTTCTGAACTTCTGCACAGCAAAAGAAACTATCATCAGAGTGAACAGACAAAATACAGAATGGGAGAAAATTTTTGCAATTTATTCATCTGACAAACGTCTAAT